AAAGGTCTTAAGTGTTCTCAACTTCTGAAGAGGTCTCTGATGACGATGCCGATGCCGATGAGAGGAGCTGGGCGTGAATTAAACATGTAAATTTAAACAGCTAAGTGGAAGACAGTTGCATGTAATTGCGGTGGCATAGTGCCAGGGAACAAGAAGAACAACTTTTATATTCTGCAGTCATGAAAAGACGCAATTAAGTTGCAGTTAGAAAATGTTGGTGTACCCATCTTAAGTACATAACGATCCAAGGTTCCTCGTGACTTTTTCGATGTCAATTGCTTATTAGCTTAAATGCATCTTTTGAAAAGAGTGATTTTAAAATTAACGGATCTTTTTAAAACAAATAGGTAGAATCACTCTAATGGCACTTTCTTAAGATGTTTAAGGTCAAGAAACCACAGAGCAAAACACTTTTAAGCATATAGTTCTCCAAAATCAAGTACGATTGTACTTAAATGAAAACCGTTTTTTCAGAGTGCATGAAAATTATTCGAATTTAATAGAGGACACAACAGAAAATGCCCATTTTGTAGGGACTCAAATGCGGAACTGGAACAAACTGTGAGGTGAGAACATTTCACAGTCATGAGTGCTGATGGATAAACGATCTACGGTCCGTTAACCCAACCAACACACAGAACATTTAATACAATTTATTGTGGTGTGTGGAATCCATTTCATTTTGGGAGAGGGGAACTGAACTTACTGACCGTCAAGTTGTGGCATCTTTGGGTTGAGTTCCTATTGCCTGATGTTATATAACTTATTACGACCATAATTAACACTAAATTCCCCAAATGGCAACGGACAACTGTCAGCTGCACAATCATTTGCGGTGTGGATTCGGAGCAAAGTTCGCATGCAGACTGGCTGATGCGGCTGTCCTTGTTTTTGTTCCCTGTCATGTTGCAGGATTCGGCTAGTAAGTGTCCTCATCCCCATCCGCTGACCCCTCGCCTCCTTTGGCCAGGACTTCTGCTGACTTATGCGCTGCGTCGTGCTGCAGCAAATTATAAAATGTTTGCCCTGCCGCATTTTCCACACATCACACAAGTCATGTCCTGCAGGCCTCTCGGTTCGCCATAAGACGATTGGTCCTGCTGCATTAATTTTCTGTTTCCTACTCGTAATCAAATTAGCCAGACCAAGATGAATTGAGGTCACATCTTGCAGATGCAATTGACAGAGCACATACCGAAATCAAATTTTAGGAGTAAAAGATAAATATTAATTGTAAATGTTCAAATATTAAAATGGAACGAGGTTAATAATAAAATCAAAGTGGAATATGTAATATCATATACAAAGAAATATTTTACTTTAAAAATATATTCAATTCGGATTCTTTAATGTATACTAATTTCACCTATATGTATATTGTATTTAACTATAAAGTGCTAAACTGCCAATAAAGATCGCAATGGCTACGAAAACACTTACAGGAAAATCTAAGACAAAATACCAGGCACTTAAGATATTTAGATTTTAGAAATAATGTATGAATTGGAAACATTCAACCTACGCCAACCAATCAACAAAGCCCTTTCAGATAATATTCAATTTTACATCGCTACAATATTAATTATTAACATAAATCTCGGTTATAACAAGCGATTGTCTCGGCCTACACTCATCCTTAATATTATTCGAGGTACCCAAGATATCATCCAGGCTTTGATGAAACATTTTAGACCGCAAGAGCAAACAAACACCCTAATTGAAGGGGGAATCTGCAGGGCTGGGCTCTTTCTTCGATGGCATCGCTGCAGAACTCCACAAATTCCCCAATCGATACAAGGCGGATGTGGGGGAGAAGCCGAAATTTCATATATCATCCAACAATTGCCCCACCCACATTGCCGCACACAGGCAATCGAGTTTTGAGTTACACAACCACAAATAGACAAGCCGTCTTTCCGCCTGAGTCATCAGGATTCCAGAGACGAGGGACTCCCGTTTTGGCCAAGTTGTCTGACGTTTATGATTGCAGCAAACAAAGGCTTCGATGGCTGCACTTGAAATTGATAATTACGTTTGGTAATATTTGTCAATTGACGCTGCAGAGGCCTTTGAAATCGAATAGAACAGCATTATTGATTCCTCGTTTCGGCTGCAATCTGAAAATTAAACTCAAATATTAGCAATAAAAGCTCTTGATTCTTTAAAAGGTGTTAGTTTTGTATATGAACTTATGGGTTACAAAATAGCGACATTAATTAAGGTGCAACTCCTGGTTTTGCAAAAGTAGCATCCATTTCGAGAAATAATTTATTGAAGGCTTTCAAAATATGTTCACCAATGTGAAGAACTTTGCCAGACTCCCTGGAAAAACCTCCCTGAATAACCTCCGAGCAAAGGAAAACTCGACTACAACCTTTCTGTTATCAGACAATGTTCCACCATGTTGTTTGTCCAATGGAAAGTTTTCAATATGCAAAAGCTTTTGTGCTTCTCTCCAGTTTTCTGTTCTTTTCTCGCCCAATATCGGCCGAAGTAAAGCCAGGTGTTTTATGCGGAAAAATATTTTCATACATAAAAGTTTTACGGCAAGAACAACACAAACTCGATATACCAGCAAAAAGTAGGTGTCCTTGGCTGAGTTTTGTCACTTATGGAATAGTTTCTTGGACAAAAACTTAACTTAACTTTATACGAATTCAATGCGACAAGTAAGGGAAAAACAGAAATTTGTATTCGTTTTCGGACTTCGGTGAAAGACATATAAATTTTCAACAAAGTTGTCACAAAAACGAATAAAATGAGCAATTATTTCCAAGGATAACAGAATTAAAACTCTGTAAGTGTTGGTCCTGAAAAGAATAATGATTTTATATACTTAGAAAGATTTAGTTATTCTTATAATTTGGCTAATCGTGCTAATTTCTGTGAACTAAAAGGCTTTCCGCTGAACCTATAATGTCGCAAAAGAACTCATTTCGCAAATGGTTGGCTTGGAAAAAATTAAATGAAATATATGAGAGTCTGTTATCCATTTGGCAAGTTCTACGCACTTCTCCCCTTAGCAGCAGCCAACCCGCCTTGTTAACTGAAACTAAACAGTACAAACACGACTGTCAACAACTGCAACATTTACCGCATGTCCACGTCCAGCTCGGCGCTGGGTGACAGGACATGTTGTGGGTCCTGGGGCTACCGCACTGCCCCCACTTCCACCCCAGAGTGTCCATATGGTCGAATGGGGTTCCACCCGCCTTAAACCACTTTTTTCCCGGGAGGAGGACACTGCTTAATTGGTCAAATGCATTTTAGAAATGCTCCGTTTAAGTATGGCTACAGGGTGCTTTCTAAATCAAGGTAAGGTTTTTGTACCACAGACTAAGCAAAATAGTAAGAAAGTACTTTTTGGCACTATATTGACAAATGAAAATTCAAAATTTTTTAAACAATTTGAAGAGATGTTATTTATAAACGTCTTCTGGATGGTCGAACCCTTTATATACCTTTTTCCAAGAATTAAGAATATGTCATAATATTTTAAATTTCCGCAGTATGAAAGCAGTCACGATCGAACAAATATTGAGAAAGACAGCTTGGCATTTTTGTAAGGCACGGAACACTTAGTTCACGTTTTTCGGCAACTTTATCGCAAATACTTGCATCAAAATAGCCGCCTCGTTGGCCAACTTTTCTGGCCATTTTTTTGGCTTTCCTCTGACAGCTGGCCACGCCCTCGCCACTGACATGTTCCACTTGCCAAATATAGATACCTACTCATCCGAGCACCTCTCATCGCTGGTGTGCCTTGGGCCAATTCATAAATTAGACTTTGCATGCAATTTCGACTGATTTTCCATCTACCCCGACTCTCCCTCCAGCCATCTATATTTTTTCGCTGGTGTCCGTTCTGCCGCATTGAACACGCAATTTATGAGAGCACAAATTTTATTTGAATTACAAAAAATAAAACCGAAAATAGCGGAAAGAAATCAAATATGTTTTTACCAATTTCTGGACGATTATCAAGAAAAATAGCATAAAAACGCTTGACCCAATTTAAACATTTTCTCTTTGCCGCTATTCGGACAAATAAATTCAATAATTTATTGCCAAAAAATTGATCAGGCTATATTCGCGATAACAGCTGCGGCAAATATTTAATAAAAATGCTGTATACAATTTAAAGAGGAGCAAAAAGGTTTCGAGGAAAAAGCAAAACAAAAAAGTCAGACCCTTGGGGCTAAATGTGAACTGTATTATCACCTCAAATGTGTGTAATAAAGTGCCGCGAAGTCCTCTGACAAAGCCCGTTTTTCCCCCTCGATTGCCAGTGAACATGACGCCAAGGCAGGAAAATAAGCGATGGGTAGCATATGACAATAGGGAGCCACTCGAACCCGAACTCCAACCCAGTCTGCAATCCAGACCAGAACAAAGGCCCAGGCCAATGGAGTTATCATTGAGCGCCAGACAGGCGAACAGACAGCGATTGGGGAGCGGCGGGCACATGCGCAAATAAATAAATTACCCCTGGGCTGGCAAGTCAGATACTAAGTCCAAGGTACTACGCTATTCAGTGAACAAAAACTTTAAAATATGGTGGCCTAACTGAAATACTTTTAAAGGTAGCGGATAAGAAAATATCAGATATATATCAGATTTTATTGCTTTAATGAATCTTACAACATTGATGTCATACACCATGTATTATTTTAACTTATTGTAAATGTGCACAAGTATGTGTAAAAGGGATACAAGAAATATAATTTGCATTATTTATTAAGGCAAAGGTATATTTACGCAGGATTTCTCTTAATTTACAGCTACATTAAATAAAGCGGCAACAATATCTATATTTTAAAAAACTTTTTGTTTTATTCGTTTGATTTAAGGAACGTCCTAGATGCTTAAATTAATTAGACTTTAACCAACCATTCCATTGGAATGACTATAAATATCCATACCCTAGAATAGAGAATAGATGGCTTTGAAAAACTGGTATACATTGCATTTACTGATATCTGAGGCAATTGTACTTCAAATTTAAATCGAAAAATAAAAAAATTTTTCACATAAAAATACAAGAATATAGGAAAGGGAAACTAGTCATGTCCAAGCCCACAAGTTTGAAGGATGCCCTGGCCAAGTGGGAGGATCGCAATAAACAGCCAGCCAGTACCGCCATAGAAATCGGTCTGCAGTTCCAGTACCCACCGATTGAGAAAATGGATCCGATCCTGAACAGTCTGACCGAGTGCCAGAAGCTGAGTCTGTCCTCCAACATGATAGAGAAGATATCTGGTATATCGGGGATGAAAAATCTGCGGATCTTGTGTTTGGCACGCAATAACCTGAAGACCCTCAATGGCATCGAACCACTGGGTGAAACGCTGGAGGAATTGTGGGTCAGCTACAACAACATCGAGAAGATCAAGCCCATCGAATCGATGAAGGCCCTTCGTGTGTTCTATATATCGAATAACGTTATCAAGGACTGGGTGGAGTTTATGCGCATAGCCATTCCACCGAACCTCAGCGATATCACATTCGTGGGTAATATTTTGAGCGAGAATATGGAACCCGCCGCTTTCACCGCCGAGGCAGTGCGTCGTCTACCGAATCTGAAGAAACTGGACGGGGAGCCAGTCATTCGTTAGGTGAAATTATACACACAATAGTTTATGTTCGAAATAAAGAGCTGGAAAAAGTAGAACATAGCCTTTAACCTTAGTGTTCGACTACATGACTGCTAACAATACATGGCTAGAATCAGGGATTCCTTTGACAGTCGTTCGTATGTGATAGGCATTTGAGCAGAAAACATTTTTCCATTGAATTTCTTACTTTTTGCTTTGGCACGGCTTGTGAAGGGATTTTCCAATTTTCAATGCGTTCCTGTTGCTGCTGATGAGCTCCATTGTTTTGCCTCTCTCATGTTGCCCCCAACTCCCAATATAAGCCCATTCTTTATTCCTTAAGGTCCTTTGGATACTCTGACCGAAGTGAAAGCTCTTAGCCAAGTTGTTACAAAATTACAAATTAAATCAAACATTTACTATCGTTTTATGATTTTTCTTTAACTTTGGAGTAAGCATTCATCATAAAAATATTAATTGTTATCCTATATTATTATTCTTACTAGAAGAGCATTTCCAGCTTCATTACCTTTATATTGAATACAGAAAACTCTATTGTGTTTTTTGTTTTCTAAGTTCAACAAGTTCAAGCTCCTGTTTTTCATGTACTGCATTGTTTGCATATTTTCGAGTTGTAAAGTAATGAGCCTTGGCTACTTGGGTCGTGTTTTCCCCCAAAATGTTGTTTTTAAATCAAAATTAAAGACTATAGAAGCTTGTCGAATATTTTGTAATAAATACCATTGTAACCTGCTTACTTGATAAATAATTAAGAGCACTGGATTTATTTCAATCAACAACGTATAATCCATCAACAAACAACAATACATTTTTAATACTGAAACACAAGCCAGCAGACAAGTCAAGAAAAAATGAAAACAATTGAAGCGATCCATAAGTTGTGTTATATGTCGGCAGATGGCATTTGTTTTCTGTGCATAAATAATCAACAAAGTCAATGGAGAGAGATGTGGTGGGCAGTCATAGATTTTTGGCAAACAGACAACTTAACAAAATCTATGAGAATGTGAATTTGCTGTCTGCCAACTCGAAGGACACCAGATAAAAACGTTGAATAAAAACATAAAAACGCCAGCCAAATCCCAGCCAAAATCTAAGCAAACCCATGCAAACCAAACCAATTGCCAGACACGAAAGTTTAATGATACTTTTATGTCTTTTCGATTTAACAACTTCTCCATTATGGCTGTTCTTCCTGCTGCTGCTGCTGTTGTTATTTGATAAACAATAATATTAATGTAAACATGAAGGCCGTCCATAGTTCGACATTTTGGCAGACAAACAGCAAACGAGACAATTGTACAATTGGATGCACACAAAAATATTTTCTGGCAGCCTGAATTGTCGCTTGGCTGATTAGGCGAGGAAAATGGAAATACAAACTGGCTTTAAAATCGTACAATTGTACCACCATTCGATGAATTTGCAGTTTAACATTTGGGGTTTCAGTTTATTTTTATTTATTTATTTAGTTTTTCTCCATTTAGCTAGGTCTTTTTTGTTTAATTGTATCGCAGTAGTCTTTTACAATTTATATTTCTATTTATTAAGCAATCTAGCCATCATTCAACACAATGGTTGAATATAAGTTATTATTATATATTAAACTTTGAAATACGTTTTCTGGGAGAAATAAATCTTTTAACTTAAAACTTTTTTAAAGTTTCGATTATAGTTTTCCTTTCGAAGTTATATAGTTTTACCTTTAAAATTTAACAATCGTTGTCCCCACGGCCGATTGAAAAATATTTTAAGACCGATCTTAATGCCAAATGCCGAAACAGTTTGTGGGTGTGTGTTTGCGAGGGCTTATACAAAATTTACGTTACAAGTTTGTGCGGCCAGCTCTGGCCGTGTTGTTCTGGTCGTTGGCAACTCTGGCAATGACAACACCGAACCGAACTACAACACTCTCTTCCCAGAAACAATCCCGCATGGATATGTTAGTGTGGGCGGGTGTGCGAAACTTGGAGTGGTTTTTGCGCTGTGGTTGAGCAATCGTCTGTGTTTGTGCTCCGGGCCGGGTTTTATTTTTCACATTTTTGCACTTGCTGTGGTCAAGGGTTGTGTCGGTGCTGCCAAAGTGTTGCCATATATTCTAAATATGTTGGTTCGCCCTTGTTGGCCAGTTGTGGCGGCCAACGTAAGAGTGGCCAAAACGACAGTTAAACGCAAAACGGTCGAAAAGGCCACTTGGCAAACTAAACGCGTGATTTATGCCCCAACGATGATAAGAGACAGCAGGGGAAAGAGAAAGCGGCAGACCAGCAGGTGAAAAAAAAAGAAAATTAAATGTATCTTTTTCCTAAAAATACAACGGCTGTTTTCCACTTTAATTTCATTAAAAATTGAAAAGTCTTTATTAGGTTAGTTATTTTATATAGATCCCAAGTCGTCTTATCTCAAAGTAAAAATAGAAGAACATGTCCTAAAAGTGTTGTAGAATTTCTTGCACAAAATATAAAATTTGTATGTTTTGTCAAAAAAAAAATCGAACAATTTACAACAAATAACTATTTTAAATAAATTAGAAAATTGTAGATATTCCTCTTTTATGACATTTAAATTAACACATGTGTAAGAATTTCATTTTAAAAATGGATAAAACTTCGCAATGAATTTCTTCAATACCTTTTTAACAATTTGCAGTTTTTCAGGCACTTCATTTTCTGCTCCTGTAAGACTATACATTTTCTTGGAGGATTTCTTGGTCGGCAGTGGCATATCTTTAAGACACTTTAAGCTCGCCCATTCTCTCATGTGAGACGGTTGTTCTCCCAGAGATTCGCATTCACATCTTGTGCCTGTCAAAGGAGCATAAATCTATTCAAAGTCTTTACGAAAAATCCAGACAAATGCCAGAGATTACAAAAAGATTTCGGCCCACATGATGCATGGGGCCTCGGGCAATGAGCGGGAGGTCCTCGTGGCGAGGATCCATGTGTATGTGTGTGTCGGTCTATCTGGCACCACAAATGTAACCGAGCGACGCACACAAAAACAATTAAAGCCTGATTAATAGTTGCAGCCCACATCCGCCAGCCGTTCCACCTTTCGCCAAGTTCTCTTGGCCCAAAATCCCAGCCCCACTTCCACATCCACATCCACTTCCTTGGTCCTCCGCTGAGGCTGAGTTATGACTTTTCCTGGCTGTTTAGCATACTTTTAGGCTTCAGACATTGTTACCCAACATGAATGGATGCGTGTGCGTGTGCGTGTGAGGTCCTCCCTCGCGCATAAGTCAAATTGTTGTTAATTTCACAATGTTAACCCTTAAACCAAAATAGCAGCAGAGACATAACATAAATTCATTTGCATCCGCCCCAGGGCCCCCAGCCCCCTCTCCGCTCGCCACATTGTATAAATCATTAAATTTTAATGCTTCCCAGGAGATCAATGAACATGACCGCAAATTATACTGAAGCGTGCTTTCAGGCGCATAAAAAGATTTCCCAGCATAAAGTGCATTTAATGCAAACAAAAAAAAGCAATCATAAAAAGTTTCTGGTTTGAAGTTGCAGTTTGTGCGGGTGTCTGCCTGTCTGTCTCTCTCCAGCTGGCAAAAAAAGAAGGCAAACATGGTAATGATATTGCATTGGATGACTGACTGTCTAGACTTTAAATGTGTTGGGACAGGCAAACATTTAAAGGGATATAACAAACACATTGCGATTCAGCTTGTATTCTCAATATTCTTCCACTCTGGATAAGATCCATCATTTATATTTTGACAATAAGATTTTCCTATTTCAGATTAAATTATTTGAAACTGTGGGATTTTAAAATTGTAAGTATGGCTTGTGGAGTTAATTATTAATATTTATATTGACTACAACAAAACGAAAAGTGCTACTTCCATCGTACCAGAAATACAACTTAAAGTGTGTGCCTTTACCACTCACATTAAATTGAAATGGAATAACTTTGCACTTCAAATGTATATTTTTAACATGGTTGCTGGCGGGACTTCCTTCAGCAAATGGCAGCGTGAACTGCACTTCCGGTGCCTTAAAGCATGCAGTACAAGATGGTACATGGCGAACAAGCCAAGAGGCTTGCATATGCAAACGCACACTCAGATAGTAAATCAAAAAGTTCTCTGGTGCGAAATGGAGGCGAGCAGACCCTCTCGTTCAGCCAGCACTTGTAGATACTTATTTCAACTGCAATTGCAGACACGCCCTCATCGAGGCACTTTTACCAGCGTATTTGACATGAGAAATCATAAACAAGTTGTGCAAACTTCTGCATACACAAAACTCCATTCTGCAACAGGAAGTCGCACGCACACACGCAAACGTGGCTGAAAATGTATAAATTAAAATTTTCGCATCGCGCAGTGGCCACCAAAAAGATGCGGACCTGCTGAAAAGGAATGGGGCATGGGCATCGTAGCCTGTGGATGGCAAATTTTGCATTCGTCCAAAGTGAAGAGTGTACACTGATGAAAATAACATTATCTTCCTAAAAGAAAAAAATAAATTCGGATTTGGCAATGAGTCGAAACCAAATTTATTATTCTTGAAAAATTTTAAAATAATAAAACAATTATAAAGTTTTTGAACGGAACTGAACTTAATTGTTTTAAAACTATAAAGATATAACTAAAATAGGCCAATATTTTAGTTTGAAAAAATTATAGCTGCAATAATAACATAGTTACACCTCATCCCTTTAAAATTAAAACATTCTATTTTTTAAAGTAATTTTTCTCTATGTAATAGATGATAGTCGAGCGAGTGAAACAACTCTGCATCTGGCTTAGGAATATAAAAGGCATTTCGGCTTTTTGAAAAAGATAGACAAATCAAATCCGTCTCAAAATAATAAAGTTATTTCTGAAATGTAAATGCTTATATTTCAAGGTCTTAAAATAATAAAGAGATAACTTTTAGTATCACGAATCAACAAACTGTTGATGTATATTTATTGTGAACCAAGTTTTCTAGGGCATCCAGTGGCCTTTAGATATCGTCGTTTTAATTTTATAATTTCCATTTGGTGTTTGTTTTTGCTGAGGGACCGGGCCTTCGTATGTCTGTTTATTTTGTTTATGAGTC